CATGACGATGTGAAATTCTCTTGATCAGGCGTCTCCTATGGAATCTTTGATTCAGATGTTCAGTACTGGTAGCTGGGCACCATCCAGCTCTTCTGATCTCTTGGCAGAAGGGGCAGCAATCCATCCCACAGAGCACGCCCTCCTCTGAGACGGCTCCCAAGGGCTCATGGGAAAATCCCATGATCTTCTCAGGCACCTGAAGCCCCTTTTCACTGCCCCCGTTTTCTGATGTCACCCCAATAACTCCCATTTCTCGAGCACCCCTCTGTGTGAGAAAATGTGGGACACCTCAGTACTTGCTACACTAACTGTCCTAGGATATCATGCACCCTCTATGGGCCCCATGGGGGCACTTCCAGCTCCCTCAGACAGAAGCTGTGGTTCAGAGAGACCAGGTAGCCTGCCAGGGGTCTCACAGCCCGAGGAAGACCGGAGGAGGTAGGGCTCTGGCTCCCTGCCCTGTGACATTATGGGGACGAACCAAACAGAATCACCACTGAGATGAGGAGGCTTCCATTTACGTTTGTGGAAAAGCAGAATTAAAAGAGACTGGAATTTTCCCATGAACTTTTTGAAGCCCCCCCCTCCCCGCCACCATACATAGCCTCAGAGAGCAGTCCGTCTCTGGAGTGTGACTTCAGCTCTGCTCCATGGGGCAGAGGCCTTCAGAAGGCAAACATCTGTGGGGCTGGTGGTATATGAATTACACAATGAGGTTCTTTCCCCGAGTCTTTGTAACACCCCCGGCCCCATGACTGGGTGGGGCTATGCAAATAGGCAGCCCTCCAGAGGGTTGGTTAGATGCCTAATACAGTAAATACGGTACAAGGTACCCTTGTTGGGTAGATACATGTAAACACGGAAGCCCCACTGAGGGGCTTGGTGAGTTTTCTCATCCCTCTAAGTCAGTGGTTCTCAACCTGCCTAATGCCGTGACCCTTTCATACAGTTCCGTATGTGGTGGTGACCCCCCCAACCATAAAAATATTTTTGTGCTACTTAATTGCTGTCATTTTGCGACTGTTATGAATTGGGCGACCCCTGTAAAAGGGTTGTTCGACCCCCAAAGGAGTCGAGATCCACAGGTTGAGAACTGCTGCTCTATAACATGAGCAGGGAGTACAGGGAGTGGAGCCCGCCCCTGGACCCTGAGAGTCCTGTCCTCAACATCCTTGATCCCGGAGTTAGCAAGCTGGGACAAGGGAGGCTGGGGAGAAGCTGCTGCTACAGCAGCAGCAGCAGCAGCAGCAGCAGCAGCAGGGGCAGAGGTCCCAGGGCGAAAGGCACAAGGAAGCTGCATGTGGAAGCTCACTGGTGGAGTGGGCTCCCATCCAGCAGTTATACTTGCCCAAGCAGGGTAGAGGCCAAGGGCCCATGGGGCTGAGATGCTGAGAAGCTATGGGTGATCAGAGCTGTGAAATATTGCCCAAGTCAAGTGGGCCTGGGCATGCACGGGGAGTACCCCCTGGGAGGAGGGGGCCCTCAATTTGTAGCCAGTTCATGCCCTGAGAAGCCTCATCATCATGAGTGTGGCCTGTGAGCTCTCTGTGGCCATGAGTGCCTGAACGTGGCAATGAGGTAGAGGGCACATGGGAGGGGCATTTGGTGGCAGAGTTGGTAAGGAAGGGTGGAGGGTGGAGGCACGGCTGACCTCTGCCTCGCTGAAGGAGCCTTGGGCCGATGTTGGAGTTTGCCACTCTCTCCCTATGGTAAAGACAGAGGCGGCCAGCGTCTGCTGCTGCCCCCACATCATTCTGGCTGCGCCGCTCCTAGGAGCAATGGGTCTGGCCCTCACAGCACTCAGAGCCATGTGGGTACCAGGCTGGGCTATGCTGGATTCACAGAACTGAAGCAGTGCCCTGGGGAGGCTACTCAGGGAGCGCTTCCCAGAGGACAGCCAGTTCCTGGCACCCTCCCCAAGGCAGGCATGAGAAAAAGGGCTGGCGAGTCATAGGCTTAAGCATCCCGGCACTTGAGTTCAAATCTTGTCTGCCTGCTTCCTGAGTCCTGGGGCCAAGGGTCCATTCTAAGTTTCTTCTCTGTTCAAGGGGCACAGTGATAGTGGCCATGCCTGGCCGACTGAAGACTCACACCAATGTGCCCCTCACCTAACACTCTGTGGGGCCTGCTCCATCCTACGGAGAGCCCACCCCTTGAACAGGGGCATTTCTTAGCTGGAAGGTGGGGCATGCCATACCACAGGTGGCATCACCCCACCCCCCACCATGCAGAGTCTTCTCCCACCAGGGCAGCAACCCTACCCTGTTCATTGCTGCCCTCTCCAAGTCGGGCTCTCATTTCACCTTCTCCCCCGGTTTCTCCTCCAGGCCACCTCCCTCTGCAAGGCAGGAAGAGGGTTACATGGTACTTGGCAGCGCCCCTCCCAGCTAGGGCCTGCCCTGGTCATCAGTGACCCAGCATATCCACAGTATTGAGGGGAGAGGAACTTTCCCAGGTGGGCAGGGCAGTGGGGACCCCAAACGTGTGCTCACCGGCCCCCTCCACCCCAAGCTTGGAGGAAGTAGACAAGTACCATTGGCCCTGGAGGAATAAAGCCCCTGGGTTTCTAAAAGGAGGCCAAGCCATCCTCCCCATGTCCTCCAAAGCCCAGTGCAGGGACCGGGTCAGAAAAGAGCCTGTCCCCACCAGTTTACGGTACCTTCTCGGGGCTCGGGCTCGGTGCCGCGGTAGCGGCCGGCTGCGCGGGCGTCCACTACCTGGAAGGTCCGGGCCATCAGGTTCTCCTTGATGTCCTCGAACGTCTTCAGGAAGGCTGGGTCGAGCTGGGCGTGGAACTCAGCGTGCGCGTGCTGGCTCTTCCCAGAGCTGAGCGGAAGGCCCAGATGCTGCCAGTGGCGGAGGCCACCGTCCAGCATGGACACGGTGCGGTGGCCGAAGGCGCGGAACATCCACCAGACGCGAGGAGCGGAGTAGAGGCCCTGGTCGCTGGCGTCGTACACCACAACGTGTGTGGCGGTGCCCACGCCCAGGCTGCCCACGTAGTCAGCGAACTGCGTGGCGCTGGGCATCATGTGGTCGTAGGGCGACGTGCGGTCGCTGCACTGGTCCAGGTCGAAGAAGGCGGCCCCCGCGATGTGGTGCTCCTCAAACTCACGGCGCGCATCACGGCCCAGTTTGGGCAGGTACCAGGAGGCATCCAGCAGCTGCAGAGAAGGCCCAGCACGCGCCCGCAGCGCCTCCGCCACCCACTGCGCGGACACCAGCGCACGGAAGAGTTGCTGCGGGGCCATCGCGTCAACAGCGGCAGCAGTAGGGCTGTTAGCCTGTGAGACACAGAGGGTGTGAGGAGGGACTGGAGGGAGGGACCAGGGCCAGGACCAGCAGGGCAGGTGGAACCCAGGAGGCCAGAGTCCGGGGAGGGCAAAAACCCTCACTTGTAGAGACCATGGCTATCGCCAGCACCAGGTGACCAGGACACCTTAGAGAGAAGGCCAGGCAACCCTTCAGCAACACCTCATGGGGGCAGAGATTGGCGGGCCCTAGAGCCAAAGGTCTTGTTGACACTTTTAGGCAAAGGGGACAAAGTCCTGGCCTTTTGAAACTCAGCTTCCTCCGTAAATAACCAAGGCCCTACAGGAATCTATTCACACTCACCCTGAACTCAGCTTTTGAATAAGCACTGCAGGCCGAACTCACTGGCATTTACTGAGGACCTGCTCAATCCCCCAGAGGAAAGTAACCAGGCAGTTTCTGAAGCCCTGGGGAGCAGGCTGCTCTGTCCTACAGGGGCGCTATCAGTCAGAAGACCTCCAATCCGAGGCAGTGGGCTTTCACAGTTAAACCGCCAGACCTAACCCGTGGTTATCTAGTTGACTGCAACTCGCAGAGACCCTGTAGAACTACCTCTCAGGGTTTCTATCATGACCTGCCCTGGGCGTGCCGGGAGTAACACAATGGCTGCTAACCACAAAGTCCGCAGTTCCGTCCCACCAGCTAGCTGCTGCTCCTCCCTCCTTGGGAGAAAGAGGCGGCTTCCTGTTCCTATAAGGATTTACAGTCTTGGAAAGCCATGTGGGCGGGTTCTACTCTGTCTTACAGGAGAAGCACTATGACTCACGCTCACTGAGGGGCCATCCCAGCATCTGTGGGCCTAAGTTGCGTAATGCTTCTGGAAGGTTCCATTCATCGGTACAAGTGCAGCCCCTGCCCTCCCCTTCCCTGTCACCCCCAATTCATGGGGCCACAGTGCTGCATGTGGCTGGACTTCATAAGCATGAAGCATGGCTCTGTGTTCACAGGGAGCCCTGGACATGTAGTCGGGTATGTGCTGGGCTGCTGACCCACATGGTCAGTAGTTGGGAACCGCCAGTCAGAACTGACTCTCTAATGGTGAGTTTTTGGTGAGTTATCATATGTCCTCTCCTGGGTGACCTTTGACCCGACAGCAGCAAAGCTAGAACATGACCACATCAGGGTGGACAATCCTGGGACCATGGGCGGAGCAGGTGGTCTCCGGAGGCAGGCTGGGTGTTAGGCACTGAAAGCCCCCCTCCAGGGCCAGGGTCCAGGTGGGGCAGAGCCAGTGTAAGTAGGAGTGGTCTGGAGTGAAGGCCCTCAGGACATACAAGACATCCCCAGTGTCCACCCCCGTCCACCCCCCACCCCCCACAGGTGGGCCCTAGAAGAGCAGGGCTTGATCTGAATGCCACTTGCCCTGCCCAGTCACCGTTGGCACCTACTGCTAAGCACAAAGTTTGGAAAATTCCCTGAGTCCATCTTCTCTGGGTCTATGTTTATCCAAGTAAACAATTTAGCAGCTTTCTGCCTGTATATAATTATTTCTGAATAAAAATGTTTGGGAAGTGGGCAGGGGGAGGACTAGATGGAACAATGGCTCCTACTGGGCTGCCCAGAGCCAATTAGACGATTTCCTGGAAGGATGCCAGCTGGTAGGTAACTCACTCCACACAGTCATGGAGTCGATTCTGACTCATAGCAACCCTTTAAGACAGAGGAGAGCTGCCCCTGTGAGCTTCCCAGAGGATAACTGTTTACAGGAGTAGAAAGCCCTGTCTTTCTCCCACTGAGACTGAGCGTCTGGTGGATTTGATTCTGCCCCACCAGGTTAGACACTCACACTGTTAAAAAGGCATGCTATTTACTTACAATTAAATAAACCGCATTGAAAGCAAAGACAGCCTTCAGGAGTGTATGGCTTCCTACCAGGGCTGGTGAGGAGCTAGATAAAGGGGGTATCACCTCCTGACCCAGATGGGCGGGACTCTGGTCTACTTGGCAGGGCTCTTGTAAGAACCAACACAGCAGGCCTTGACAGTGGTCATTTCAGTCCAAAGTTCTTGGGCAGTTTCTTCTCCTCGGGTTTCTGGGTAGGTTAGGTCCCACGCCCCAACACCCCTGCCCCTACTCTCCGCTGATCTCTGTTCAGCTTAATCAGCCCACCCTCCTCCCTATCAGGTGGCTCCAGGTCAC